ATATATATTGTGTGTGTGTGTGTGCTCGCGCATGTATTTGTATGGACATAAATATCCATCGTTTCTCATTTTGGGGTGATGGTGTGAAATATAGTGCAATTGATTTGTAGAGCTCTCTCTTACTCTCTAAATGTAAGAATCCTTTCTCTACGAGAAAAGAGATTCCATACAAGCTTTGTGAGTATGTGGCTACTAAGGCAATTATCATTCTTATACACTTGTTTTTGAAGATGAATCTGAGGTAACTTCCTGTTACCACTTTTTATAGGAAGACGTTTTTTGAATTTATTGTTTTGAAGTTATGAAAAGTCGTCTCTCGTTGTGATTTTTTTTTCCAATAATTTTCGCAATCTATGTTTAATGTACATGGAGCTTTTGTTTTGGATGCGTTATTGAGAATGCAACTTAGTAGCTCAGTAAGTGATATGACAATGTTAAAAAAAAAGGTGTGCCTAGGTGCCCGGAGGATCTCAGAGCGCACACCCACTGCTAGGTGGTCTGGCGCCTATACCTGGGCAGCCGCTTAGGTGGGCGCTCACGGCTCCTAGTTTCAGGTCCTGGGTGTGCACCTAGGTTCTGCGCATAAGTATTGGGAGCCCCCATGTAGGGGTCCGCTTCCGCCCCGAAATCTCGATCCCGCGTTCTAGTGACCGGATCTCGATTCTAGGTGCTTCCTTGCTTATTCGGATCTCGTATCCGGAGTTATGGGAACTCGATTCCTATTATTTGGGAACGAGGTCCCTAGCAAGCAGGATCTAGATCCCCATGCCCAAAATCATGGCCCCAATATCATTCGGAACAACGATTCCATCATACCAACAATTGAGTATCCTATAGCATGGGGGTGAGATGCACCTATAAAGTTTATTTTATTTGTGTATAGTATTCGGTTTTCCTCAAATTTCTACGACGCACTTGCAATGACATTTGTGTCCAATTTTAAAGAAAGGTAACTAAAGTAGGGACAACATTGGAAGGAGGTTCAAACGGTAGCCATGTTGCAATTTTATTGTGAAGTGAGGTCACGATCAATACATTTCATTTTGGTAAAAATGATGTGTTACACAATCTGTTGATGTGTTTCACAATCGGTTAATGGTGCATTTCGAACGATATTATGTACAAGTCTCTGAGTATAGTCGGAATGGGTTGCACATTGTAAACTATAATTGTATTGTAATACTAAACTGATCATGTTGTGTCTGTGAACCATCGTTATGTGAATGTTTATCAGCTCGGGTGAGATATGAAAGGGTGATAGTGGGTGGATGGACATTGGTTGTGGCATGTACACTGTTTGTGTGTAAGGAAAATGAATCCAAATATTGTTAAAGGAAATGCAGCCATGAACACTAAGAAATCACACCATCTTAAATACTCAATGACTTTTCTCGCCAATCTTCTAAATTAATCACTTCAATCCTATAGGCAAAGGAAGGGAAAAAGAAAAAAAATTCAACCATATCTTCATATTCATGTTTGGGATCACATTCTTGGGCATTGGGGTTGATGACCCTCCAGAAAAGATGACCCTCCAGAAAAGGAAGTGCAGATAGATAGTTATATCAGCAAGAGATGACCCTCCAGAAAAGGAAAGGGGTTTTGGACATGACTTGTGCCATAGATCAGTCGACCAACATACACTCCCATTGAAGTGTACAATTCGCTATATTTATTATTTTTACATGCTTTCGCTGGCTTTAAAGGTCACATGCCCCAACATGAATTATGGTATCAATGTGCATCCGTGGCAACGGTTAGTGCTCTTTTGAAGTGCATCAACCTGTGTACGACCTTCAATTTAGTTTTTGTATTCTCCATTTTCTAATGGCTGAGGTGGTTATCATTTGACAGTGGCATCGATGGAAATACACTGTTAGCCTCAAAAAATGGGAGAAATGGAGCCCTAGAATCTTTAATATGAGCACTTCCAGGCACTGAATGATTTGGTGCTCCCAAAATTGTGTGCTTCATTGGTGCTTTAATATATGCTTAAGCTTCGCTTTCTTTGCTTGATTTAATGGGCAATTTTTTGTCACGAATGTGCACCTCATGTATATATGAATTGAAAGTATGTATTATCAAGTGATTTTAAGCCTATAACAATCGGTTTGATCCCTTTGGAGATTTATACAGGTATGGCAACCAGTATGTTGATAAGGATGCTCTTATATATCTTATTTTGGCAAATGATATGTTACATGAGCTCCATCCGCATATAATAACAATTGCGGAAGACGTGAGTCTTTTATCATCTTCCTTTAACCAGCTTGCCTTCATGCAATTATTTTTGAGTATTTAATATTCACAGATATAACTATCTATCTGCACTTCCCTCTTGTTTTTTATTATCTAACATCCACATATGTTCTACATAGGTTTGAGATTGATTTTAGTTAATTTGCAGAGTGTAGACCTAAATGCATTAAAACCTGGTCTGGCCGACTAATCTTAAATTTTTATTAGGGGATCTCGTTTTCCCTTTATGTTGCTTGTTGATATTCCAAACTCCATATGTATTATAGTCATTTTTCCTGTTTCCTAGTAAAGAGATGCTCATAACTATATATGGTTAGTTTAGTCTTGTCATATTTGTATGAATTCTTAGGGGTAGATTGCTCATTCTTATTTCTTAATTGCAGAGGATGTTTTTTGTGAATAGTACCATCAGTAGAGTATAGAGAGAGTTCTATGTGGCTATATATGTTATTTGATCCTTCAAATAAAACAACACTCTTATGCATTTGAAGTCTCTCAAGGTATCATTGGCTATCTATTATGCTGTTCTTCCTATACGTCTGATCCTGTTCGTTTAAGTTGTTTCATTTTCTCTTCTCTCAATTTTTCTAATTAGCTGTAATGGTGCTCGCCAAGGATCCATCCCCCACATCTGTGTTCCACCCAGGTGCGGGGCTTCTGGCCTTGTGTGGGCCACATGATGCCCATAGGGTGGCATTACCCACTTTTTTGTTTTGTGTACCACTTTTAGTTAAAAGTTTGGTTATTGAAGGAATCTTTTAAAATTATAATAAATTTGTTCCTTATTCAAATGGGGGTTTTTAAAATATAAGATTGTCTTTGACTTCGTCTATATTTTGAAAGATCTTGGTAATGTTAAAAGTGTTACATTCAATTTTAAATAGAAGTTAGATTTGAGTCAAATTGTAAAGGGATAAGGTTCCTAATTTCTACCCAAAATTATGATGGCTGATTTGTGGGATGAATGGTGTTGATTTGTGAATTTCCTAATATCCTAATGGTCAAGCTAGGAAATAAGATAACTCATACCTAGAAGAAATCCTATTTTGAGTTGGAGGTATATTTATTTCTATTTAAACATTATTTAAACCTCTCAAATCATGAAGAAAAAACCTCTCTTTCACACCAAAAATATCTCTCACGCCCCAAAATATACCTCTCTCTCTCTCCAATATTTTGGGCACGCCGCCCTCTCTCCTTCTCTTGGTGTGACGCCTCCCTCTCTCCTACTCTTGGTGTGATGCCACCCTCTTCTTTTTCTTGGTGTGATGCCACCCTCACCCCTTCTCTTGCTTGTGACGACACCCAAAAAGAAAAGAAAATAGGTGGTGGGACATGAAATCCTAGGAGGCTAGGGCTCGCAAGTTCAAGCCTAATTTATTCCTATGCAAGTCCTAAAGTATTAAAAGTGCATCATTGGTTAGGGAATCAGATGTGGGGTGTATCAAGCCCTATGAGGGTTATTCAAGGCATCATCTAGCAAGTCTTAACAATTGATTTAATTATTTTTCAATCTTATTTTATATTTTTCTGTGAATTTCCATGAACAAAATTTGTACTCAAAACTATAGTGGAAGATTGTTTGTTGCTCTTGGATGTTTTTATTTGCTTTTGGCAGTAAAAGTCAAGATCTTAGGTGGTATTTAGGGTTTGAATTATGATTTACATCAGCGTATACTGTATAGTGGCCCCTGTGAGTGGAATTCAGTTATATTGAATAAAAGAACAAGAAAAATTTTGAGTGTATAAATAAAAAGAAAAATATTGAGTTTACTACCTTGAGTTCCACACAGCTACTCCTTTCATTGGTATCAAAGCATCTATATTTTATTGCCATAGTCTAAGAGTTTTTTTGAATTTTTGAGTCTAGATTCATGCTTTAAAAAGTTTTTTGGTGGAGTTTATTATGTTTTAAAGATTTGATGGGAAGAATTATGCTATTTGGAAGAGAAAGATAAGCAATATCCTGTTTGAAGGACTTAGCCAAATGCTCTCTGATAATCCCCCACCTACGCCAAGGGGTAATGTTTATATAAGGCAGTTCATACCGCATGCCTACTTATGGCCATGGATGACACCTATGAAAGTGGACGATGTGAATTAACACAGGCTATGCAGTTTAAAATTTTATTTCGCGATGCCATCTAAAATACTTACATATGTCAAAAAGTTACAATCAAAACTCGAATAACTAAGCAAAAAAAAAAGTGGATTCTCACTTAATGCCACTTTTCAAAACTTCTTCATTACATAAGCAAAATTACATTAAAGAAGATTGGGAACAAGAAAAGCACAAGAAAGCATAAAATAAGATAGTGTGCCAAAAGATTACCTTTAATGGACTTTGTACACTCCACACTGGATCTCCTCCACTAATGGCGCACGGGATCTTGGTCTTTCTTGAATCTCAACAAATGGAAAGCTTGGCTACCCTCTACTTAAAACTTGAGAGCGTGCACATGGAATATGGAGCCTCTCTTACCTCTCAACTATATGGGGTGTGTCCCTTCCTTTGCTTGATGACCTAGGGGTGTGCCCCTCATTCTTTTTTTAATTTGGAGGGTATGGTAAAGAAAGACAAGTAGAGAGAGAGAGGGAGGTGTGCCACCTTTGAGGGAGAAAGAGAGAGCTTTAGGTTTTGGTTTGTGTTTTTGAACCTTTAATAAGATGTAATTATATTAGTGAGGCTAGGATTTGGGATTTAGGGTTTAGCCATCCTTATGAAGATTCGAATTAGGCCGTTGATCATTAGTGACCTGTGGGGTGAGAGATCTTAGCCATACAATTTGTAGATCAGCCATCGTGATTTAATGGAAGGTGGTAGAACCTTATTCCTCAAGTACTTTTAACCTAATCCCATCAAATATTGTGTAGAGATAATATTCTATAATTTTCCTTTTAATATCTATCAATCTCTACACATTCCATTTAGAAATCAATCATTCTCTCTTCATAGACCTTTCCATTTTAGATTCAAATCAATTAGGTGGCTTATACAACAAGCCACACCTTTTGGAAAGTATGAGAAAGAGGGGCATCCCACTTATGTAGAGCATAGTGGGCACCATGCCCCATCACAGTGGGCCTAATGTGGTGTTCCTTAATGAATTTTGGCCCCCCACAATACTAAATAATTTTTTGTAGAAAGACATGATTTGTAGAAAATAGTCAAGTATCTATATTTTCCTCTCTGAATATTTAAAGGAAAAAGTTTATATAAGTGCGAGGCTCTAAACAATCACATTAGGGCGCATTTTAAAAATTTCACTAGAAGAGGTTGTTTTGATACCCAGATAGACTCAAATTGATCATCTCGACGTCAAGATGCATGGACATGACAAAAAAATGGATTTCAAGTTTTGGAAATAGTGCATCCTGTAATGCATTTTTGGATCGTCAATTTTAAAGATTTCCAAGTTTTCATAGATCTTCTCGATCTACACCATTTTTGAAGCTTTAAATTTTATAATTGGAGATGAAAATATATTTTAAGGCTATCACAAATATTTCTAGTATATTCTCAACACTATTTGAAGGTGTGCTTTACTTTGATTGTTTAAAGCCTCAGCCTTAGACAAACCACACCCATATTTAAATACCTGAAAATTCAGTTTTAGCTTATTTAAAAAATCAAGTTTGATAAAATAAAATATCTTGAGATTTCTAAAAATTTATTTTGATATTCCAAAAGTTATTTAAAATAAAATTAATTATTTTAAAATTAATTTAATGGGTATTAGATCCAATTTCATTAAGGAAAATGGGAAAATACTGAGGTACTCCATCTCTACTAGTGACTGTCCTACACTCACCTTTTCAAACTGACTTAGTAGTTCCCATGACCTACAGTCCATCCCAAGGGTTCATGATTGGACTACCATAGCCAACCAGTAGGTGATGTGATCACAATCCTAGTCTATAGACTACAAGTTCACCCCTAAGGACAAGCCTAGCTCACATATACCTATGCACGCTCTTTGCAATTGGTGCATGGGGGCTTTCTCTCGCACATGTACATGTAACACCTTCAATGGTGTTTACTTCCCAATACAACTATCATATATATATGCTGTGTGATGATCATTATGGGAATTTGGCCCTTGTCCCTTTAGGCCTACCAATCACACATAAGGATCACCAAGTTCCTTGGCCACCTACCCTGAGCGTCTCTTCAACCTTATCAAGAGCGAACTCTGCAAATCCTTCTCAGTTGTGCTAGATGCCCAGGTCTCATAGAATTTTAGAACTCAACTTGGCCTAGCTCGTCAAGCCTAGTTTGAGTCTTGGCATCGTTATTGGCAACTTCGGCCCCTCTGAACCATACTCCCACTTGAGTTGTTATTCCACTATTATAAAATTTCATTACATGCTCTCATAAGGCCTTTAAATCGCCACAAAATCCCAACAACCCATACTCTCGAGTATGAGCCATTGACAACAACCCATGTTGGAAAAACTGGGCAATCTAACTGGTAACCGCCCGGTTAGATAGGAACCAGCCAATAGCTGGTTCTGGTTTCGGGCAGTTTTGGTGATCAACCAGTATTTAAAAAAAAATTCAAAAAAATGTACATAAAATCCCAAAAATAAGGAATTTGATTTGTAATTCATTTTTTAATTTTCTTTACATTATGGTAAAGATTAGAAATTGTTTTGGTCATTAATACTCACTTTTATATTTTCCCATTTTTTTCAGAAAATTTAAAAAACACCCCTAGGCACATATTGATTATTTAAAATTCATTTTTTTCATTAATTTTCAACTTCATTGGAATGTGTTTTGTTTTAATCATTCTTTATATGCTTTTCGTATTTTAGTAGATTTTTTTGTTTCTTCTTTTATTTTTTTACCACTCGGGAGCTCGGTAAGAATGGTTGAATCGGTTTACCGGTTAGGCCGGTTAAACCGCTTTTGGGCCCAGGTCCGGTTAACCGGTCCGGTTTGATTTTGCGACCACTGAAGACAACAAAGCAAATTCATGAACGACTTGAGGCTGAGTATGCTACTCTTCTCAGTAGAAAAATAATGGTTATGAAACAATATTTAGATTTGAAGAAGAAGGAAGGAGGCAAATGAACCGAACATATACAACAGTTCAGAGCTTTCATTCCCGAACTCGAGGCTGCACAAGTTAAGCCAGATGAAAACATGCAAATCTGCCAGTTGCTGAATTCTATGCCGAACACAAAAGAGAGCATGTCAAAGTTGGACGAGATCATTAACAAGCTTAAAGTTGAAGAAGAAAGGAGAGTGACTTGTGATTGTTCAGTCTTGAATGACCGTAAATCTGGTAAACCTTAAATTTAACTCTGGTTCATTCAAGAAGAAGAAGGGCTAAGCAAAGAATAAAAACAAAACCAATGAGAATCAAAAGGGCAATAATGGGCCTAGAAAAGGAAGGATTTAAAGAACACCCAATTCTATCACTGCAACAAATTTGGGCACATTGCGAAGTATTGTAGAGCACCCAAGAATACGAATCCCAAGGGCGATAGGGAGCATGTTTGTGTGGTCCTTGATACCATGCTAGCTGACCTTAAAGTAGGGTCATAGTGTTTTGCTTAGTGTCCACTGCCCCTATGTCGAACACCAAAGATGGGTTCAAAAGTTTTAAACCTGTTGTCCCTAGGGATCAAGGTATCTATATATGGGTGGGAATCAAAAGATTGGAATTCTGGGTGTTGGAGATTTCATCCTTCAACTTGATAATGGAAAAAGCATGGTTCTAAAGCATACTCTTTATGCTCTTGAAATGAGGAAGAGTTTGATTACGGTCGCTAGATTGGCTAAGGCAGGCTACTCGACCTTTTTTACTGATAATAAGGTGGAGGTGAGATATGGGAGTGAATGGTCATGAATGGTCATCTTGTAGATGATTTCTTTTCAGTTGCAATAAAGAAATCTATTTCTTATGTCTCGTGCTATAATGACAACGATGATGATGCGTATATATGGCACATGAGACTAAAGCACATAAATCCTACAAGGATGGAAAGGTTAAATAGAGAAGGCTTATTAAAAAAATCTAAATGGAGACTTAACTAGAGTATGTGAATCATGTGTTCAAGGAATGCTGGTTAAGAAACCTTTGGGAAGCTCCGAGAGCTACGACATATTAGAAGTTGTCCATAATGATATTTGTGGACCTATGAATGTGGCTACTAAGGGTTGCAAGAGGTACTTCATTACTTTTATTGATGATCATTCCTATTTTGGTCATGTCTATCTGTTACGTGAAAAATCTGAAGCCCTAGACCGTTTTAAAGAGTATAGAGCCAATGTAGAAACCCAAATAACCCAGAAAATTTAAGTCCTTAGATTTGATAGGGACGGAGAATATCCCTCACGATTATTTAAAGGGTTTTGTATTGAGCATGGTATTATTATACATCAGTATATTATGCTGTAAACTTCTCAACAAAATGGGGCAGTTGCGAGGCAGAAGAGGACCTTGATGGAAATGGTGAGCAGACGTGCTAACCTCTCTCTCTAGATTTTTGGAGAGAAGCTGTTTTGAAAGCTAGCTATATCCTTAATCGGGCTCCCACAAAACCTGTCATACCAACTCCTCATGATATTTTCACCAGCAAGCTCCGTTCCTTGATCACCTCAGAGTGTGGGGATGTTCTGCCCATGTCCTTATCCCCCATCAAAATAGAACAAAATTAGATCCTAAAACCTTTTAGGCTCATCTTCATAGGATACCCACCACATGCTAAGGGATATTGTTTCTATAATTCGGACATAGGGGCTGTCCTTGATAGTAGGGATGCCCATTTCCTTGAGGAAGACTTCCTCAAGGGTCGTGCCACTGCGAATTTTATGTGATAGAGAGTAACACGAGTCAGACCCTAAATTCTGATCCTTCTCGTCCTTGGAGAAGTAACCAAATTAGAAGAATATGTTCTTCAACTACCAAGAAGAATATTATGAGAGAAATTAAGAAGAGTCCCTAGATGAACCCTGTTCCTACCAAAAAGCCATAACATGTCATAAAAAGGCACAATTGCAAGAAGCCATGATTGATGAACTTAATATGGTCAAACATAACAATGTTTGGGAACTAGTGATACTGATAGAAAACCCATAGGCTGCAAGTGGATTTATAAGAAGAAATTGAACTCGGAAGGGAAGTTAGGAAAATACAAACCTAGATTAGTTGTTAAAGGGTTTACCCAAAAAGAAGGAATAGATTATGATGAGACTTTCTTCCCTGTAGTGAATTTCTCTTCCACTAGAATCCTAATAGCCATGGCAGCTCATTTCGACTTCTAACTCCACCAGATGGATGTTAAGACTGCATTTCTTAATGGGGAGTTAGAAGAAGAAATTTATATGAAACAACCAGAGGGCTTTATAGAAAAATTAAAGGAAAACCTAGTGTGTAACTTCTATAAGTCTCTTTATGGCCTTAAACAAGCATCAAGGCAGTGATACATTAAGTTTTAAGAGACCTTGTCAATAGCTGGTTTTGTGCCTAGCAAGGATGATCACTATATATATATATATATATATATATATATATATATATATATATAGTATATTATAT